GCTGGGCCTCTGCGACAGGGCGCCACTCCCACTCCGATCCACGCCTCTGGTTTGGGATGCGCCCCTCCCCCACAGCCAGGCTGACCCCTGTCCCAACAGCAGCACCCACCAGTGTTATTCAACAAGAACCAAGTCGCCGGGCTGGGCCGTGCCGCACAGCTCCCCTCCTCTGCACCAAGGACGCCTCTCCACTCCGAGACACAGAGACCCTCTGCTCTCCTGCCGTGGCCGGCGGTGCTGGCTCCGCAGGGCGGGAGCTCTCAGGGATGTCAATTACTGTGTGCACTCTTACGCTCAGAGGGTTTTAGGGTTAGACGCCTCGAATTTGAGTAGAAAACATTCCAACAAGCACTTGCTGCTCCCTCCCTGCTGCCTGACCACGCGCACTGTAAGCCAAGTGCAATGGTCCCAGGAACCCCAGAGGCCAGTGCACCTCCCTGGGCCTCCGTGGTAGGCAGGCTACACCTTCCCCCACACTGGCATCTCGGTTTGAGACTCGAGACCCAACGGCTGAAACCAAAGCAGGGCACAGCAAACACAACAAGGGGTGCACTTACGGGACAGGGCGTGGGCACCCTTGGGCAGGTACTCGAACAGCAGGGAGCCGTCATCCCCCAGCACGTCTGCCTTCAGAGACAGCAGGCTGTTCTTGCTCATGAGTGCCGCACGCAGGTTGGCCACTGCGGTGGCCTGGCGCAACACCTCGTCCTTCTCCGGGGTGAGCGGAGGGCCCAGGCAGCCGGCGTCTCCTCCCAGGAGGCCTTCATCCACCGGTGCGTACAGCTCCGTCCTCTCTCCTTGGCTGTCCACGCCATGGCCCTCCGTGACAGTCAGGTCTATATCTGGGGTTGGGAGGGACACACGTCAGTGGATGTGCAAGTCACTGCAAGACTGCAACCACTGAGGGGCGCAGGTGAGCTTCCTGCTAGCCTCCGCCTGCCAGGTCACGTCCACACGCTGTGTGCTCCACGCACAGGACACCGCGATGGCACACCAGTGACGCCATCGCCTCTGCGTTCTGTCCCGCCAGCCCACACCCAGGACTCGCCACCTGCCACAGCAAAATCCCAGCTCCGTCTCCAGAAGTCACAGCAGCACTCAGAGCTGTGGCTCCAGAAGAGATCCTGGGGCAGGATTCCAACTTCTCCAAGAAGACACACTCATGTATCCACGATCTACTGGGATGCTAGACTATAAACTGCTTAGAAGAAAATCTGTGTGGTCTTATCTTTGGCAATGGGTTCTTAGATAAGACATCAGAAGCACAAGCAACACACCAGGTGAAAGCCTTCTGCCAGGCAGTTGCTCAAACCTGTAATCCTGGCTACCTGGAGGCACAGACGGAGGACTGGGCAGCCCCGCATGAAGTTCACGAGACTCCCATTGCAACCGTCACGGCTATGAGGGAGCCCAATGGCCAGGTGCAGCAGCGCACACCTGTCAGCTCAGCAACTCTGAGACACACAGGACGGTCTCAGCCCATGTGAGCCCAGGCACCAAGAGACGCCGTTAGGGAAGAGGCTCAAGTGGCAGAGCACTAGCCTAGAGTAAAACAGCTCAGGGACAGCGCCCAGGCCCTGAGTTCAAGCCCAAGGATGAGAGAGAGCGGGGGTAGGGAAGGAGAGGGGGGCACTCAGGACTCGCTCAAGAAAAAGGACAAGACAACCCACGGAATGGAAGGAAACACCTGTAACTCATGCAGCTAATACGAGGACTCTCACTCAAAAAGACAAAGATGGACAGACCACATTCCAGTTATCCAAAACTGAATGGCTGATGAGCACAAATCACAAACCATCCATGCAGTGCAAATGAAAACAGCTAGTACCAAAAAAATCCGAAAATAAAGTATCAACAAGGATACAGAGAACCCAGAACTCCTGAGAATGAGAGGTGTGCAGGCACCGAGGAGGGTTTGACAGCTCCTCCAGGGGCTCCCAGGGCGGCTGGAAGCACCATGACCAGCCCCGCAGAATTCCTAACCCCTCAGGAGAACAGGAAGGAAGAAAATGTCATGTGAATGGATGTCTGACCCAACTTGCCCTCCCCAAGTTCTGAGGTTCCTGCCTTGGTGGAGAGACAGACAGACAGACAGCACCCTGGGGCAAGCGCCCCTGAGACAGGAGGCAAACGTCAGCCCTAGCTCGGCCTCAGAGAGAGGGGCCTTTGCTGGGTGCTGGTGGCTCACGCCTGTCATCCTAGCTACTCTGGAGGCTGAGATCTGGGGATCTCAATTCAAAGCCAGCCAGGGCAGGAAAGTCTGTGAGACTCTTACCTCCAATAAACCACTAGAAAACCAGCAGTGGCGCTGTGGCTCAAGTGGTAAAGCGCTAACCTTATTGCTGAAGAACTGAAAGACAGTGCCCAGGCCCAGAGTTCAAGCCCCACCACCACCAACAACAACAACAACAACAAAAACAACAACAACAAAAAAAAAAAGAGGGACTTTAGAACAATGTCAAAGGAGAATGGGCACCTGAGACCAGCTCACTTGTGAGCATGCGTAGTTGGGGCCCCGTGTTCTGGGGAAATGTACGTTTGCTGTTGTTATGAAAAACCCAAAACCATGGGGATACTAAAGAGACTATGACTGGTACAACCCCTCCTTAGCGGTTTGGCATTTCAGGGTTAATGCTGCATGTGGGCCCGGTGGCAGACAAGCCTAACGGAGCAGAGAGGCAGCCTGCCGAGCCTGGGGCCAGGATGCTCCGGAACAGCTGGCATAACAGCTCAATAACGTTTAGGCAGTGTGACAAGACGTGCCCACGCCTTTCCAAAACACAGGCCCCAGGTAAGCAGTACCCTTCCTACACACACTGCCAAGACCTATCCATGAATACCGGCACACACAGGTCCTTGCTGAGCTGTTGATCTATGTTCACAAATGATGAGTCTGAATGCTTCACTTATTCAACAATTTGCCTCTGAGCAGATGTTGGCGGCAAACTCAAATCTGAGGTCAAAAAAGTCAAGCCAAACAAAAAGCAATTAAACAAGCAGGGCTGGGAATGTGGCTTAGTGGTAGTAGAGTGCTTGCCCAGCATGCATCAAGCCCTGGGTTCGACTCCTCAGTACCACATAAACTGAAAAAGCTGGAAGTGACCCTGTGGCTCAAGTGGTAGACTGTTAGCACTGTGCAAAAAGCTCAGAGACCCAAACCCTGAGTTCAAGCCCCACAATCAGCAATAAATAAATAAATACATAAATAAACAAGCAAAACTTTAATGGTGATGCTAAAAAATAAAAAGCTTGCGGGTACCAGTGGCTCATGCCTGTAATCCTAGCTACTCAGGAGGCTGAGATCTGAGGATTGCAGTTTGAAGCCAGTCTGGGCAAGAGTCCATGAGAGGGGCTGGGAAGGTGGCTCAGTGGTAGAGCGCTTGCCTTGCATGCCTGAGTCCCTGAGTTCGATTCCTCAGCACCACATAAGCAAAAAGAAAAAAGCCGGAAGTGGCACTGTGGCTCAAGTGGTAGAGTGCTAGCCTTGAGCTGAAGAGCTGAGGGACAGCGCCCAGGCCCAAAGTTTAGGCCCCACAACCGGACCCCCCCAAAAAAAGTCTATGAGACTCTCATTTCCAGTTACCCACCAAAAAACCAGAAGTGCAGGTATGGCTCAAGTGGTACAGCGCCAGCCTTGAGCAAAGGAGTGGGGCAGAGTGGCATGCACCTGCAAAGCTACGTGAGAAGCTGAGGTCAGAGCATCTCGGGCCAGCCCACCTGCGGGGTGGAGATGGACAGGCATCCTGGAGGGAAGGTGGCCAGGGAAGCACTGTGTTCTCAGGCATACAGGGGGCTCGAAGTATGCTTGATTCCAGAGGTGTGCGTGCACACGTGCACGCACACGCACACGCGCACACACGCACTCATACGCACACACACGCACACGCGTGCGCACACGCACGTGCACTCGTACGCACACTCGCACACGCACGTGCACACACGCACACGTGCACACACACGCACACGCACGTGCACTCATACGCACACACGCACGCATGCGCGTGCACACACGCACACACACACGCAGGCATACACACACACGCACACGCACGCGCACACGTGCACACACACGCACGTGCACTCGTACGCACACGCACACACACACACGCATGCGCGTGCACACACACACACGCATACGCACACACATACGCATACACGCACACACACACATGTGTGTCCTTTTAAAAAAAATGTAAAAACAACAATCTAGTGAAAAGCAGGGCTGGAGACACGGCTCCCACGGGAAGAGCCGGAGCTCTAGCCCAGCCGCGCGCGCGTGCACTGCTGACTGCTCAACAGAGCCTCCTGCCGCTGGCCAACTCCATCTCCAGGGTCGGTGCGGTCACGTGGGCTCCGGCCGCCCAGGGCGGGTGAGGCGCGGCCAGGACTCGGGGCAGCCTGTCAGGGGCGCCCAGCCCGAGAGGCTCTCGCACAATCACACGGTGAAGGTCCGATGTGAACATCCACGACCGGCACCAGCCCCCACTCGGACCCCACGCGGGAAGCAGAGGCATCGCTCACAAACGCCATGGAACGTGCAAGCTGCTCGCTTGCTGGTCCAAGGCCAGGCCGGGCTGCACACACTCCTACACTGGAAAGCGAGGGTGCTCTCTCTGCTGCAGCCACCATACATGTCCACACACACATGCACACACGCACACGGGGTCACACACACACAAGCACACCCCGCTGCGGACACCCCCATGGCACCTCCCAGTCCTGTGTCCTGCTCACCTCTACTCACACACACCACTGGTGTGCAATGACCATGTCCTCTCAAAACGGGGACTATGCTTTCATTGTTTGACCAAGTCCTGCCTGGAATACAGTAATATCCTCAGCATGTGTGTATGTGTGTTGGGGACAGGGTTACTGAGGATCAAAGACAGGGCCTTGTGATCATGAGGTAGGTATTCTAACGCTGAGGAGAGTACTCTAACGCTGAGGTACACCCCCAGACTAACTCAGTATTCTTAAATAAATGAATAATAAAAAGAAGAGAGGGAAGAAAGCAGCAGTTTATCTCTTGGCAACAAATGCTATCACAACAATGACCAAAGACCTCACCCCGCCCGCTCTGAGCTCTGCCCTACAACGCTGGCATCCCAGCTGCTGTCTGCATGTGGTATATGACTGGACTGACGGACGTTTGCTTTTTGTGTATGATTTCCAATTGTTCCAGTGATTTTGAGTTTTGGCACAAAAAAGAAAACTATGTCTTATCACTGAGTTGCCTAATTAACTGTGTTTTTAGTTTGTTCTTAATATCTGTGGATTCCATATCTACAGTTTCAACCAACAGAGGCTGAACATACTTTTTAAAAGGCAAGCATGAGCCAGGTGCCCGTGGCTCACATCTGTAACCCTGACGACCCAGGAGGCTGAGGTCTGAAGACTGAGGTTCAAAGCCAGCCTGGGCAAGAAAATCCATGACTCTTACTTCCAATTAACCAGCAAAAGCTATAAGTAAAGGTGTGGCTCAAGTGGCAGAGTTTTATTCTTGAGCAAAAAAATCTAAGGGACAACACTCAGGCCCTGAGTTCAAGCTCAAACATGAAAGAAGAAAGAAAGAAAGAAAGAAAGAAAGAAAGAAAGAAAGAAAGAAAGAAAGAAAGAAAGAAAGAAAGAGAGAGAGAGAGAAAGAGAGAGAGAGAAAGAGAGAGAGAGGGAGGGAGGGAGGGAGAAAGAGAAAGAGAAGAAAGAAAGAAAGAAAGAAAGAAAGAAAGAAAGAAAGAAAGAAAGAAAGAAAGAAAGAAAGAAAGAAAGAAAGAAAGAGAGAGAGAGAGAAAGAGAGAGAGAGAAAGAGAGAGAGAGGGAGGGAGGGAGGGAGAAAGAGAAAGAG